GCGTTGGTGTGTCCACTAGTTGCTATAGTTCGCCCACCCTTCACGCGAAAGTACTTTTTGTAGTCGGCACAGTTCCGCTAACCTGTCAAGCAGCCTCTCCTTGTTTAAAATTTGTACGATTCAGTGTTCTCTGCCTCGCTCTTTCTCCACTAGTGTTTAATATAGGAAGCTCAGGGACAGCTGGAAACCCCGCGAACAGCAGCCTGCCCCCACATCGTGATAGATAAAGATAGTTAAGACAGAGTTTCCTAGATTTTGAAACACAACCCCTTGTACTAAGGGGTGCCACGCTCATTACTCCTCTTGACTAGCGATTAGTTGCGTTTTTCCAATTCCTAGCTCTTGACCGCAGTTTATTTGCTGATTAATATCGTCCACCGCACTACTTTGTAATTTAATCGGGCGATCAGTTTGGCAGGTTTTTCCCTGGGATCTTCTAAAGTTCTAACGGGTCTCTTTAGTACTGACTGGCTACCGACCGCCGCCTGCTAACGAAATGAGATTTGCCAGACATATCTTCGGGTGCTCGATCGTTTTGGTAGGGCACTCGGGGAGGTTTTTACAAACTACCATATTAGGTTAACGAACGACCAATTCGTTCTTTTGTCTATGTGTACGTTTTATATGCTGATCATGTCACTCTCGATCGTTCCGGCATTGGTGACCATTATATCGCTGCCTCGTTATCGGTTTTCAAAAGATTTTCTGACCTGCTAATAGGATTAGACCCAATGTTTTTAAACAAATGTTGATGGCCAATGATTCACTGATTCGATTACGATCCGGGCATATTAAGCAGCGCCCAATGGTGTCTGATGTTTTCACATTTCAATTGTTAAGTTTAAACGCCATCGAAAATAATCGAATTTCTCTCGATCTGGCGAAGTGCTGTCTCCCTCTCTAAATTTTTTAGATATTTTTATCTGTTCGCGGTTTTGCAGTCCTTGTGAAGAAATTGTTAAATCGATCATCTAAATCGCTCAAAACGTTCAGAGAACGCTGTAAAAATATGTCATCCACAATCAATTTACCAACCTATACTTTCGACATGGCTTAATGCACGTGTGTAATGTTCCTACTTACAGCAGATCATACTCCTGTTATACGTTGATCACTTAACTGAGTTTGCGGCGTTCACCATATTCCCAAAGATTCAGACATAACATTGTAACGCTCTTACTGACGAAGTTTAGATGCGTTTATTTTTTGTTTTTCGGTGTTTAGTTTAGTTAGTATAGTCCTGTAATTAAACTAAATCGTATTAGATTTGGTGCTTCAGGACCAAGCTCCTCGTACGTCGTCTCAACTTTTCGGTATGTCTAGTATCGTTGCAGGACGTTGTTGTTTGCCGTTTCCGGCCCCTTTATGTCTGACGTCTTGTAGACGAAATATAGGGAGTGTTGCTATCCTGATAGAGACTTCAAGAGATCAATACTAATTTAGAAGTAAATATGTCACTTTAATCTCTCCTGTCACTTGGCCTTAGACATGGCACACTGGTGTACAATGCGGCTTTGACAAATCTAACCCTACCAACTATGTAGCTCTCTTTGATTGGAAATACATCGGTCAACGATTTCTGGGCCAGGTTTAGATTTGACCCCGCTCGAGCCGCAGACTATACGAATGTTCCTCTGAATATTGTTATTCACCGAGTATGAGCCGTGTTCTATATTTAAGGAACCAGGCAGCTGTTGTGTTAGCCTGGGTACGGTCTACCGTTACTCAAACACTGCGGTTAATTCTGGGAAGCTCTTGGAATTATTCGGTCAGTGCCCCAATGACCATTAATTTTTGCATTGCCATCCTTCTATGTCATACCCCATTATATAATGTGTGTGAAGCTTTGGTGAAGTTAGGCCAATCATGATGTCAGGTATTTCATCAAAGTGTGACATATCCTTGCAATTTACATGAACGGTGATAAGTGCCCCGTCAGTTTCATTTTTTACGGGGAGGGGGTTTCACAATCTCAAGCATGATGATATCTGATGTCAATATTCTAATGGGTTTCTTGCCTGTGTCACGACGGTGGTTATTACCACCCCATTCCTCTTATATAGGAGGCCTTTGTGAAGATCACTTTTTATTTTATGCAATCGAGTTTTACTTGCTCGCATTCTTTGTCCCTATATTTAGTTCCCACTTTTCACTCAGAACCCATCAACGCTTTCTCCATTCAGATCCCATTTACGTAAGTTTTGCATTAAGGGACAAAATCCATCAACGCGCTATGCCTGGCTTTAATAAACGAGAAATTTATGAGCTTTTTGCCTCAGATTTAATAACACATTGCCTTGGTTCACTTGAATGTGACTTCTAAAGAACAGTACATGGACTTAAAAGGTCAAATTGCTCGATTTTAGCTTGATAAGTTTGACTTTGAAAGTTTAAAAGCATTTGGTTGTAACTCTGTTAGTATTCGTGTAGACTGTAGCGTGGTCAGTAAGGTAGATACTATCCTGTTACACCTGGCTGGTGGCTGAATGTCATGATGATATCTTGATTCGCGTCCTCACGCTCTCTGAGCATGTCTTATCGCCGTCTAATTGTATCTACTGGACCGTATCATCACTGCAAAAGTGATATCATGGGTAACAGTAATGGAAAGTTTATCTCACGGACGATACATCATTGATACATTAGCAGACTACTTGTCACATCCGGAGCTTAGATCTGGCTTCACCCTTCCTTCCCATATTTAACCTACCGTCCATGCCCTTTTACAGCTTTGTTGCATCACATCTAGGTAGGTCAGAGGGATGGTTTTGATGACGTATCAAGGGCCAATTTAATGACGTCACGTGGCGCAATGTTTTTCATCATACCACGTGGTTGGTGGTTGGCCCTAGCCCACTACATAATGAAACAATAGCATGTTGTCGGATACAATAACCCACTATATTAACTGATAGATTTGCTGCATGTGAAGTAGTGATTAGTTTTAAAAACCTCCCCAAGCCGAGTTTTGATCCCCCTACAAGACTTAGTATGGTGCAAAGCACGCTGCAGGTACAAGCTTCCAGGCCCCAGACTTCCCGACCCTGCTCTTTCCTCACTCTTCAAGCAACTTCTCGATCCTTTTATAATTCCTGTTTATAGCTTTTGTTTACTTGTTGTTGTTGTTTGTATTGCATCACTTCCATCTCTTTTGGTGTGGGCTGCTGCCCGGTTGTACGTTATCTGGGTGCCCCCGTTCCTGTGTTTTAGGGAACAGATTGTGGAGGGAGTAGTTAATGCGGGGTTCATTTCATTTACAAATCAGATTATCTGGTGCTATTTCTGAGTTCGCTTCACATTTAACATTAGGCGTGGTAGTTAAGGACTAAGGCCCAGTGCACTGCACCGTTCCTTCGATTGAAATTAGGCGACTGTCCCCCGGGCGTCTTGACGCTTAAAAAGTGAATTTTCGATTCCAAAAGTCTGGAGAGCCGTGACCGTTAGGATCAATCCTGGAATGTGCCACCCTACAAATTGTTACCTCAGCTAATGTAGATGAGACCTAGCTATTTTCAATTTGAACTCCGAGATTTAATCCTGGCATTCTATAAACGAAACTCTCTGTACAGGGGGCCAGAAATATTCAGTTTGCGATTTGTTAATTAAATGAATTTTGATGGAGTACTTCTGTTTGAGCTGGGCGATATGTCGGTATCTGACCTCATCCCCTCGTCTGAGGACAGCGTGTGGGGAGAGAGAGAGAGAGAGAGCAGTACTCCGCTGCTCAACCTCTTCCTCCGCAGTGCCGTTCTGTCTTGACTCGACGATGTTAAGAAAACAGCTCTCCGGCCCCTGATCTGATCTCCTGTCATCGGAGTTTAAGATATCGTGATCTAATTTCAGCATTCCACCCTGTAACCGTCATCAGCCACATCACCCTCTTTCAGAACTATTAGCCCTTTTTCTTCACTACGTGAAAACATCTTTTTAAAATTGCCAAATCGTATTATTTTTCCTGCGCCTACCTTGAGACTGTGCCGATTTCTGTTCATCAGATAGATGTTTTTAGCCAGATCATTTCTCCATATCGAGTTATCAACCTCCTTTTCATTTGGTTTTTCCTGCCCGCTTCACGTATTGTAGAACCAGTTCATTTGTGAGTAGTCACTGCTCATTCTGCCGCTATCCACCGGAACTAATTTACATTTCTAACCTTCCCCTTTGCTGCTGAATCGTTCCTTTGAAACTCTATATGCCCCGTGAATCGTTTTGTAATTTTCCCCATCAATTTTGTCATTAATAATTGTTTTAAAAGAATTCTTATTCAGGCGCTCTTGATTTGTCAATGCTTAGATTATTCTGTCGCCACTGTATAAATTGTGCCAATATATCTAAATGTATTACACCTTTGATCTTGCTAGTTTAGTCTGCGTGTATCGTGGTAGCAGCTGAGACGAGACCAACGTGAGCTGATCTGAGGACTGTCTACAAAATGTTATGTTACTTGCACTGTCGCTCCTCCTATCCCTAAGTGCCGCGGCCTACATCCCCTGTAACTACTATAAAGTAAGAATACGGCACCCAGTCTGTCGGCATCAGTGTTAACTCAGTGTTATTCTCAGGAAGGGTTCGATCTTGATGGCCGAATTCTAGATTATTCAGAATTATGGTGATCCAGATTGAATCCTTCGAATGGATTTCAGGGTTGATATAGGTCGAGACAAATGAGTTGATTTATAATTGTGTGTTTGTAGTCACTGTTCGCAAGAAGGAAACGATGTTGTAACTAAAAAACCGGTCATCAGAGAAAACCCAAAATCATTGCTTCCTTTTTTGCTGTAATAATGCTAGATCAGCGAGAGAGAGGGTCAATGATCCAACTTACATTTAACCCGACATTTTCTATTTCCGTCTCGCAAATTACAAGGGATTCGAAAGTTGACCACAGGATATCAATACATACATGGTTTGCTAGTAATACAAATAAATGTTAGGTTCGCTGAAATTCCGCCTATATAATGACCCCCCTGACCATTTATAACAACTCACTCCTCCTTCAGCTCTACACTTACGGGTATCTAAACGACGAGGACTGCAAAAACTGCAGCTGTGATGTGATTGGGTCACACTCCCTTCACTGTAATGGTACGACGGGGGACTGTTTCTGTAAGAGGGGTCACACTGGCAGGAAGTGTGATAAGTGTCAGGACGGCTACTGGAGACACGCCCGCCAGCCTTGCTCAGGTTTGTAAACTTTTTCTCTATTGTATGAGCCACGGTATCAATGAGAATATATGAATTAGATGTATGTCGTGTGATTTTCCATTCCGCAAACTTTGTCACTCTCCGTATATATATAATCGTATGAGCGTGGAAATCAACAACAATTAGTCATGAAATTAAGGCCCTGAAATTGGGCTGTAAGTTTGGTCAAGTTAAAGACAGTTGCCGACTCAGACTTCTAAAGCCCGCACCTATAACCGACTCATTGATTCCAAGTAATTGATACTAACCTGAGCAGGCTTCACTTATCCGGTCCTCACACCAAATAATGTTTATGAAATTGATGGGTACGGTAAATCAGGTTATGGCAAAGTAATACTTCTATTTTTACTTTAATTTACGACACGGTGAAATAATGGGGGTTGTTGGTTTCAGATTGCGAGTGCAGCGAGATTGGGTCCAGTTCCTCCCTCTGCTCCACTTCAGGACAGTGCCCCTGTAGACTGGTTACACCGGACGTGACTGTAGTCAGTGTGACACTGGCTACATCCTAACCGACACTCTCCAATGTACAGGTAACCAAGCTCGTGTTATAGCTTGCCTTAGTTTACTTTTCATGACTTTTTCAGAGATTCAAATTGAGTGATAACTCGTATGCTTTTAACTTTTTTTAATTAGGGTTTCAGTTGTAAGGATTATGGTCGATGGCTAGTTAGGGAAAGCCGTACTTGTCCAAAGGTGTTGAGCGTGCCAAGCTTTCCTTAGGACATACTTTTCAGATATCTTAGTAGTTCAATAGATCTCAAATAATATAATGTGTTCATTTTCAGACGGATCAAGCCATATTAAATTGTTGAAATCTTATTTTATCTTGACAGACGTTGGGCATCCGGCACCCAGGCAACTTTTAAGCCTAGGGAAGGAATTTGGTGAGAATTTAGTAAATCGTTTCAAACCGCCAAATTCAAACAAAATCTAATTTCACAGCTTGCGGGGCCCAGCCTTAACAGCTTTTTAACAGCTCCCTATGAAACGAGCAAGAGGTAATGTGGGTAATAGGGTTATATCATAACAAGTCAACATTTGACTCATCAACCGTCGGCTAAGCTTTGTGGTTGAGCATGTAATTGGGGGACTTCAAGAACTTGATCAGTTGAATTAGTTATTTGTTGGGGCAGGGCATCTCGTGTGAGTCTCATGGCATGTTCCAAGGTAACACATTCTCCCACCTCTTGTGACCCGCAAGTTAAAACAAGGGAAATGAGAACTAATAAGGAGGGTAAAGTTAATAATATGCGTCTGTTCTTATAGAACATATGTCTGAGCTCTATTGAATTTATTATCCATATTTAAAAGTCCGATAAAAAGCAGCGACCATATAATGCTAAACTATTTTCCGTTACTAAAACCTAGTCTGCTCTGCACACAATACTGTGATGGGTTAATAGGAGGAATTCGGGTGGTGACGATCACAACCATGAGAACTTTATGAAATTATGTCGTAAAGATCGTTGTGAAGATTGTTTTCTAAACAAAAATACTAACGAACAAACAGATGGACAGTATTGAGAGATGGCATGTAGTAATTGTGATTTGATAACTCATCGCTTGAATATCCCCCACATATTTCAGAGAGTGACAACTGTGCAAGGAATCAATATCCCCCACATATTTCAGAGTGTGACAACTGTGCAAGGAAGATGTTGGTGACCTTGGAGGAGACTTCCATCAGGCAAACTGCGATAAAGAGTATATCACAAGACAACTTCATCAGCAAAACAACTGCTAAACTCAAACATCTCCAGAATAAATCTAACAGGATCAAGGTACATATCATGAATGAGTGCTGTTAAGATTCGCAGTATTTTTAGCGGTCAGTTTGTGCGTACTGCGTACGTTGTTATAGTTCTTCCCAATCTCACAGATGCCAAATTGTCGGCCATGAGTCTCAAGTTTTGTTCAAAGAAAGTTAAAAATACGAGCAAATTTCTCGCATAAACTCATGAATATTTGGTGGGGCGTGTCCCATAAATGTTTCTTAGTTTCTTATATTCATACCGCATAGCAAATAGACTGTAACTTTGCCAGGATCAGATGCTTCATAGGATATCCGTGTTCCGGGACTTGAAAGAGACTGCTACAAATGTTCAAGACATTTATTTCTCCCCCTCCAAGCAACCTCTTCACATACAGGTAATCCATACTATCATGCACCGCCCAAAACACCCCGAAAAACGTCAGGAATTTTTTGCCCACAAATAACAAATTTAAACTCGCATGTTTCTAAAACAATCTTGACATGATACTAGAAATATATAAAATCTTTGCGTTGACTTCAAGGAACGTTATTTTCTTGTAAAACTAGACTTTCTGCGCTATAGTAAGGCTGACTCGTGTGAAGACATAAGGTTAACCTTTAATTTCCCTAACTCGCTTTCAACCCTACAGGCAGATAATCTGTGGTCCAAGAACACAGAGGTTGACTTCCGGATCAAACAGGTCGCACTCGGGCTGGACTCGAGTCTGACCATGAAGAACCAATACTTCAGGGATGCGTATTTTCAGTACGATTACGCGAAGTACCGGCTACCGAGAAACTCAGTGATTTGTCTGTTAGTAGAGCTCAACTCCGGGCTCTTTCTAAAGAGGTACCCACATTACAGATTATCATCGTCTGCCTTTAATCGGTTATACCCTTCGCGGCTACCCTATCATGAGTCTTAAACTGGTAGACATAAATACTCCTTTATAAATACTCCATATTATAGTAATATAACATCGGAATATCTGTGACGCAAATCGAGTCATAGATCTACTGATTGTTTTTAAGAATCCAATTTTATCAAATTTAAATTCCAGGGCCAACTGATGGTTTTTGAAAATACAATTAAAATTCCAGGTCAGAAAATTGGATGATCGGTATATCGACACGAAGCTTATAGCAAACACAGCATCTCGAGATCACTACGGAAATATGTTCAGTAATTCAGAGGAGTTTCGGGAACAATCAAAAGAAATTAAAAATAGGGTTCGTTGTTTGATTATTTTTTTGCCTTTTTGAAACATAACAATTTTCAAGATACGGAAATACTTCTTCAATTTGTAATGCATTTCACTGAATTAACCCCATTTTACTATATTTGTACCTCATTTCAACTGATTTCTCTTTTCTTCTAATCTTAATTTTCTCCCAGGAGCGTGAATCACACAAATCATTAAAAAACCAAACTGGCCGAGTGCGGGCACTATCAATTACTCTAGCTGAACTCCAGTACGATGAAGTAGATGATTCTTTGCTGGTAGAGACACGCATCAGCCTGGACCATGCAAGGTAGGCTCCACAATACTTCCCCCTTTTACTCTAGACCTGGTCCTCCGCAATACTTCCCCCTTTTACTCTAGACCTGGTCGTCAGTTAGAGAGACGTGTAATTAATTACACGTTCACAGAATTACAGAGATGGGTTGTTGTCGTTGTCGGGAATTAGAAATTAGAATTTGACGTTGTTCACGAGATTGTGGAGTTATACCGAAAATGATGGAAAGAGTTTTAACAATAGCTTTATAGTTAGATGTACCCGGATATAAGTTAGTTTTAAAAGAGATCTTGTCACATATCTGATTGAGATATAAAACTGACACTGATTTATGTGACAGTTATGTGGTCGATAAGTTCCTGGGATGGAAGGAGGAGGTTGAGGAGAAAGTCAGGGTCGTTGGACGAGAAATAGTCAGAGCTACTTCAACAATAAGAATACAGGTGGGTTTCTAAGCTTGAGTTGCTGGTTTGATTTAAACTTCAAACATGGGTAAATGTGTAAATAGAATGAAGCGTATACTAAACGTAGTAATTTCCGACTTTCCCCAGAATCACAAGTTCCGATTTTCCAATCATTGTCATAGACAGGGAAAAGCAGGGCCTTTTTATATTTCATAACAATGTGCGGTAGCTCCCTAACATTAGCAACATCTTCTGCAGAATCTGAGTTTGTTGATATCAGACATGAGGTTTCTGCAGCAGTCTGTGGTGGACCTTCCCGGTACCCTAACTACCCCCTTACCTCTGGACTCTTCGACATGCCAAAACACGTGAGTACAAAAGTATTCAGTTTGATATTTCCAACTTCTTCAGACCAAAATCAATTGGTCTCATGAAGTTGAAAATATCAAACTTAGATTGATACTGGAGAGCTTAACAAATGGTTAAAAGGGTCTTTCTTGATATCGGTCCTTTTAGATTTCTGCTGGATTAACTTTAAATGTAAATTAAAAGGGCCTATGTTCTAAATAGAAACTATTTTTTTAAAGGGCTTAAGTCGAAATTGGATCATACTTTTAAAATGGCCAGAGTTAGTGTGGGAACTTTTGTTGCTGTAAGTTGTTGCCTAAAGCTAGGTTCAGTTTGTGAATTTGATTAAAAACATGTCTCAGTACTTTTAATTTCCAGGAAAATGCTTTTATCGATTATCTCAAAACACACTTTTTCGACTTAGACTGTTTTTAATTCTAGGTGACGAAATGCTCAAAGTGACCATGGTTCCATCACAATTTTACGTGATCTCATCTGGCCCTTCTACCGTCATCTTTCTCTCTCTCAAATCCCGTATTCCTAAGAAATAAAGTCATTTGCGAATAATCCCTTAAAATAAAAAATCTTCTATTCTTGACATTAGTTTACGAATGATTTAATTGTATGTGGTTAAAACTAATTCTATATACGTACTACCCGTCATAGTCCCACGATCCACAAGTGTCTATATTTTATGCTCTATAGCTTCATGATTTACCATATTGCAAAGGTTGAACTTCAATCAGAAATTCAGGACAATACAAATAAAACACGATCATATGATAATATATCTTTTATCGAAATACATATTACGGAAACATGAAACAAACAGATACGATAACAAATACCTTTATTTGAATCGTTTAAAAAAGAAGAAGATCAATATCTAAAGTCAACAAGATAAACTTACCGCAATAGGAAGTGTCTGAATATTTTTTACTCTTTTATTTACTGAAAACACGTCGATCGCCCAACTTTTTACAGATAACTGATCGTATTCTCCCGAAATAACACATTTTCGGATATAAAATATTCACTAAGTTATTTTAAAGAAGATCAAAATTAAAGCCAGAATCTTCCAGAAAAAAGAGAATTTAAACTTCATCGGAAAAATTCACATCTTAAATTCTAAGATAAACACCCTTCAGGGCGAAGTTGGTACGGTCGATGTTTAACATGTTCTCGATAGTCCTCCTTCCCCAAGCTGTCCGAGAGATATCTCTTATCAGGGAGATAATATCAAACATAGACACGGTAGCAGAGATGCAGGAGCTTACTGTCAAGTATCGCAACACCGAGAAGCTGGCGGCCAGGGTCCGGACTCAAGCCAACAGGGCCGACAAGAGAAAAATACCTCGTAAGTTTTGACTTGAACACGCGTCGCAGTTTCTAAAAAACTCACTGTAGATCTTCTTTTTTGTTCAAAACATTGTTTGATAGTTCTAAGATTTTGCTTCTTTTTTTTTCAAACCTCAAATCACCATCCCTGTTATCATCCACGGGATCACTCATACAATTTGAAAAAAGTCAATAAGAAAGTCCTATTCTGATAAAACTGGAACTTGATAGCATACTGGCCACTGCCATATTTTCATCTTCATATCTCCACCTTCCTTGTTTAAACCAAGTAACGCAACATAAACAGTACCCCAAGTATGATTATAAATCCCACGAATATTGGGTGGAACACGTAGCTGATAAAACATAAGAATATGAGCGCGAACGCGAACCCTATATCAGGAAATGTGCGGTCTCCTCCCCGGAAGAGGCTCATATTACTATCAGATTATCACTTGTTTTAGGAAATGTACCCTGATTGATCAACTATGCCGATAAAAGTTCTCTGATTGGTCACTCGTGAAATGTCCCCTACTGTGAGCTGTCTGCTGATTGGCTCTAGGTTGAACTGTCCTATTCAGTGTGCGAAAAAACGTTTACATCTTCGAGCTGTCCTGTGAGTCATGAGTTAGCGAACAAAAATTAGCGATTAAAATTACTCAGCACAATTATGATCTATAACGTGACGCAGTAATTCCATATTTTAAAGTAAAAGTAGCTGACAAATCAAAAGTATTCAAGAAAGATGTATTGACAATATTATAATTGTTGAGTTTGTACGCTTTAAAATGGGTCGATAATAAAGTTGAGTTAACAAGAGGGCGATAATTTTACCGAGAACCAAGCGTCGAACAAGGACCTGCAGCGGATCAGGTATAATAGGGGAGCAGTATTGATTAAGTAGCAGAGTGCTAACTGGTAGTAGCGGAGAGAGATCTCGCAGCTATTACAAGAAATACAATACTACTCAATAAAGCTTCGTCCGTAGTCATGCACTGCGTGTTGGCTATTAAAAACAATCAAGAGAGTGATGAGGTTGTCTCGTTGTTGACTTGCAACGCTATTCAGAAGTTCCACTCACGTGGCATGTAATGTGAGCACGTGGGCTGGTCACGTGACATGTAATGTGAGCACGTGGGCTGGTCACGTGGGATATTGTAGAGGTGGTTCAGCAAGGGAAGAATAATATATCCCAGAGGCAGAGAGGAGAGGAGTGAAAACGTGTTTTTAGTAGTTGTAGTACGAATATTGTTATAAATTTATTCCATAACAAGTGTATTCTTTAAATCATCCCACATTCGCTATCGTTTTATGCCCATAAGATAAAAAATGTAGACAGTGTCATGGTTAATCAGTTAATGGTTACATCCAAAGTTTAATTCAAACCAATTCCTGGTTTTTGTTTTCTTAGAAAGCCACGGCTGATCGTAACCTTTTATCTTTTTGTGGTGTACACTAACTATACAAAACATAACCATAGTTCAAACAAATCAAACTTAAAAAGAAAGTTTGACAAATCAAACTTAAAAAGAAAGGCTGATCGTAACCTTTTATCTTTTTGTGGTGTACACTAACTATACAAAACATAACCATAGTTCAAACAAATCAAACTTAAAAAGCAACATCTGAACACTCTACCGCTACTTCGTGCCGTGTATCTTAAACAAAAGAAGACACCACTTCAAGAAAGTTCTACATTCATCTACGTACACTTGGACAAATCAGTCGTTGTAATGTTAAAATTTTGAAAGAAACGTCTCACTCTCTTATTGATTATACAAGTATTACTTGTCCTCTAACGTTATTTACATGGAATGATTTATGATTAGAACATGTTGATAATGTGTATAGACTAAAGATGTTTTAGTGCAGTCGAACACGAAAATTCTAACACTATGAGGGATAACCAATGGAGGATACTGTTTTTATAATTATTGGTTTTTAATGAGCGGCAACGGGTGCTAGCTGGACTCCTATAATTTATCAAAAAAACAAATAATTCAATTATGTTTCTTTCTTTATACGTCACTCACTATTTTTCTAAATTGATTCTGAGTATTGGGTTCGAGGGTATAATAATGAATTTATAATTTATTGGGGGATCTTATCCGTAATGATGAGACAGATAAATTAAATTTCCAGCCTTATTTTGTGGTACCAATACCAATTTCAACTTCCAACTCTGACAGTTCATTAGTTTTAATTCTGATTTTTTTTTTTTCACTTCGACCGACGCCTAATTTTCTTTTCAACTTTTTTTAAACTCCGTGATCCATACATGCCGACCAAATTTAATGCGTGTTTAATAAATTTACTTTGATTGTTTTATAATAATGATTATGTCATGTCCCGAAATAGCCGAATACTGATACTGGCAGCCGATTAGCTGATACGTGATTATGTGCTTATCTTACAAAGCTTATTGTTGAAGTAAATGGCCATCGCACAGGCGGCTAAGTCGTTGATCTAGTAAAAAACATGATAATAATGTCTAATATCCAGTTATATAATATTATGTATATATACATATCAATTTACAATAATTATTAACGTTATTATCCTTATATATAAGGATAATAACGTTAATAATTATTGTAAATTGATATTTAATGTTGATAAATACAGGGTGGCCCAGAAGTAACTGGCCACACGCAACCCTTTAATAACTCACGTTATTCGTGTCAGAAATGCACACATATTTCACAGAATATAGATATGGGTCAAACTTAGATTTCCTGAAAGTTTCGTAAAATTTCATTCATTTAAAAGGGTTTGTACGCCATTTCCTCTTTTCCACTATTGTCACCATAAAGTGAGAACGCTTTCAGCTAGGAACTCCAAGTTATAACCATTTCAAGATCTTGCAGATACGTGATCTGGCACTTAATCAGTGAGTCAGCGATATCTTCACTCAATCAATGGCCTGATTGGTTAGAGACTGCTTATAGGACAGCAACCGAAGCGCTATATAACGAGAATTTCTTTGATTTTAAGGAACGTCACTATCAGTATTCACTCAAAGTGATCATATCGTCATCCCCCAACATGCTCGGTGCCGCCTAATGAGTCCCATTATTGCACTCTAGCGAATAGCTCCCGATGAGATTACTTATTGGGTGACAAAATCACTGATTAAGTGCCGAGATCACGTATCTGCAAGATCTTAAAAGGGTCATAACTCGGTGAAATTGTGAAAAACCGACTTGAAATTTTGGAAAGGCACTTCAATTATCAAATGTGTCTAAAAACTTTGGAGTTCCTAGCTGAAAGCATTCTCACTTTATGGTGACAATAGTGATAAAGAGGAAATGGCGTGCCACACCCTTTTTAATGAATGAAACTTTCAGGAAACTTTCAGGAAATCTAAGTTTGACCCATATCTTTATTCTCTGAAATTTGTGTGCATTTCTGACACGAATAACGTGAGTTATTGAAGGGTTGCGTGTGGGTAGTAACTTCGGGGCCACCCTGTATTTATTAGATATTTATAAATATTTATTGAATTCTATCATAATATAATACCTAATATCAAATATCATCTTATATTCCGGTTAAGGTTAGGGTATTTGTTAAGATTGGGGAGAAGGGTCATGTGAAAGGACTGCGTCACACTAACAAACTCACAAGTCACACTCAACATTTCTAGAAGTTCCATCGACCATCATAACTTAAGGATTCCAAATAACGCCATATTTTCCACCCCAGGTTTGAAGAGTTCGATGCAAGTTTGTAATCATCGTTTAAAAGAGTTGACCGATCAAAACAAAATAGATGAGGACAGACTGAAGAGGGTGAAAACGCACCTTCAGTTACTGACCACCAGCAAAGTGCATCCCAACGACTCACACCAAGTTAAAATGAATCAGCTGGAAGAAGATCTCACTAATCTAACTCTGAAGAAAAGAAAATTTAGGTCTTTGGAAAAGAGTATTAATACTTCCATGGACCGAATGCAGCGGAAAATAGATGCTGTCAAGATTAAAGTTTTGGTAAGCATGTGATTTTGAAATTTTGTATTTGATTCCATTGGATCAAGTTCATTATCAAACAATCGAAAGAAATGTTATCCGCATTTTTGTGTATTCAGTTACTCTTTCCTACAGGCGTTCGAAAGTATAAGGTTTGATAAAAACGACTGGTCGAGATACACTCTTCCGAGCCAAGTGCAGGAGATAAGGCTTGGTTTTAGATCGGACAGAAAAACTGGCACTATTCTCTCCATAGGACAGACAGTAAGTTTATACAACTTCAACTCTGCAATGTTCTCAGTCTGTATGTCATATGTAAATTGTGGCCTTAGAAACAGTATGATCACGAGCACAATTTTCTTGAACGGTGAAAATTCAAATTTAACGCCCCGTCAAAGTAAATATTCGAGATTTTTTGTAATATATTGTATATTTTCGTCAAATTTACGTACTTGTAAATGTGAGAATTGGAAAAAAATGGGACGGAATTTTACTGAAGCTTGTTTACCAAAGTCTTGATAATCCATTTATCAGGGAACTGAAGAGGATCTGTTGATTTCTATCTCCCAAAATACCCTCTCCTTCACGTGCTACGAGCCCATGACACTACCCATGTACACACTGTGCCCAGAGTCAGACTCATCCCCGTGTTACCCCAAACTTGGTTCCATCAGCTACAGTGAGTGGTACGATCCGCGAGCCACTTTCGATCCTACTCTCTTTGCTTCTCTTCAAATAATCTTGTGAGTTAGGATATTACGGAATATTTATGATGGAATAGAAAACTTGAGTACTACCAAATGTCCTTGTTTGTTTATCATAAAGAGTAATACGGATAAAATAGTAGTCTGTTTGATTTGTTAACCCCTCCATTTTTCAGTCAATATGGTGCGGTGACAGTGAACGCGTACCAAAAAGAAAAACTCTTCTTCTCCCAAAGTGCACCCTGCATGATAACTCCCGAGTCTCTAGCCCTCACCAAGCGCCCCAGCTCGGGTAGCGGCTTGATAGGACCAGGATTTGCGGGTTGTATAACCCAGCTTCAAATCAACAGGTCCCCTATAGGAATCAGACAAGCTAATCACACATTTGGACACTTGAGAAGGTGCGAGGATAAGGGCTACGTTCAGAAGAGTGTTCGGGAGTCCGAGTGCGGAATGAGTTACCTCGCCCTCGCCTCAGAAACCCTTCTCCAGCCTTCTTACTCCGAGAAACTCCGCTTCAGTGTACTGATCAGCTCTCTCGAGGAGAAAGTTACTGTCATGTCTGTCGGTCAGCTGAAGATAACCGCCCGACAGGGCAAAATCTTCGGCACTTGTAATCATCTGAAGATCAGGATCACATTTAGAAACGTTTACACGACAAGTGAATCTTTTGAAATGGCTCTAGAAGTGTTTGATAATTACATTTCTCTGACCGTTTCCAGAACTGATAACGAACCTAGGACGCGAAAACTTCCCTGCGTCCTTCGACCCGAGAAAAATGATTTTATTGTCGGGTCAGACAGTCCTAGCATCGAAGGATGCATCAAAAAACTCTAGCAATAGTATATGAGATTATTGATAATGATAGTTTATTTATTTGTTTTAATTTAGAGTTAGATCAGTAAACATTTTTTCGTGTACATTGATACCTTATTTCTGAATATTATAACTGAGACCAACCTTATCAGTATTAAGGGGGCATACCCCAAATCTGTCCAGACCAAATGACCTCATAGGCAGTTCAGTGACCTTCTAGCGCACCGTTTCCACACCAAAAAAAATTATTTTGAGAATTCCCATTTTTGTAATCGAGCATTTCCTGATTAAGAGTGCAATTTTCGGAAAAAATTATTTTGTGGTTGAGACGCTATAAGTTAATTATTTCTTGCGGTATCGGGCTGAAATTTTGCTCGCCGTTTATTCACATCTATGTCAAGGTGTGTGTAAAATCTTGATATCGTATCTAAAAAGGCTGGTGTGTTATGAATTTTTAAAGTCAAAAAGCTAAAATTGTCCTTTTCAGGCTTATTTTAACAAAAAGTCAGTCAGGGAAGATCGGATTATTTGATGCTTGACATCAAATTGTTCTCTGAGTTCTGGCGCAGTTTTTGATGCCCTCAAAAAATTTTTTACTCATTCACCTTCTGATCTATTGGACCTCAAAGCCAAACAACAAATTTAGGCACATTTTTCGTTTTTAATATTTACTGATTTTTCTAAAATTTTGATAGGAATGTGCTAGTGACTTTTTGAAGGGTGCAAAATAACCGCAACTAGCACATTTATATATGAGTTATGAACAACAAAACACCCTAAAATGCTTCCCTTTGAAGTTATGGGAGAAAATGTGATTTTTTATCTGCAAAGCCAAAAAATCATATTTTCTCCCATAACTTCAAAGGGAAGCATTTTAGGGTGTTTTGTTGTTCATAACTCATATATAAATGTGCTAGTTGCGGTTATTTTGCACCCTTCAAAAAGTCACTAGCAAAATTTTAGAAAAATCAGTAAATATTAAAAACGAAAAATGTGCCTAAATTTGTTGTTTGGCTTTGAGGTCCAATAGATCAGAAGGTGAATGAGTAAAAACATTTTTGAGGGCATCAAAAACTGCGCCAGAATTCAGAGAACAATTTGATGTCAAGCATCAAATAATCCGATCTTCCCTGACTGACTTTTTGTTAAAATAAGCCTGAAAAGGACAATTTTAGCTTTTTGACTTTAAATATTCATAACACACTAGCCTTTTTAGATACGATATCAAGATTTTACACACACCTTGACATAGATGTGAATAAACGGCGAGCAAAATTTCAGCTCGATACCGCAAGAAATAATTAACCTATAGCGTCTCAACCACAAAATAATTTTTTCCGAAAATTGCACTCTTAACCAGGAAATGCTCGATTACAAAAATGGGAATTCTCAAAATAATTTTTTTTGGTGTGGAAACGGTGCGCTAGAAGGTCACTGAACTGCCTATGAGGTCATTTGGTCTGGACGGCACAAACCACTGTTTTGGGGTATGCCCCCTTAACTATTGATCAACACGGCCTCAAGCAACCTACTATTAAAGTTTAAAATGTTCCCTTCTTTCTTTTAAGCCTTGGTAAATCATTAGTGATAAGGTATATGTGGTTGTTAACTGAATGCAGTGCACTTATGACAGGAGATTATGCTCGAGAGTTAAAATTAAGTAGTTGTAAGACTTCATCAACAGAGATATATTTCAGTAAAATTGCTTCAGTTATATGAACAAACATTCCTTGTGTCGCTATATATAGCTACTATAATAGCTTTTTTTAGATATCATTGAGCATAAGCAGTGATACAACGTATCTCGGGATGATCCGCAGAGTCTCGACTAGTTTCGGCTTACCGCCATCAACAGGATCGATGAATCATCTCAAATTATTTGTTATATAGTAGTGTTGAAAGTATTAAAGTTTTAATACTTTCAACACTACTATATAACAAATAATTTGAGATGATTCATCGATCCTGTTGATGGCGGTAAGCCGAAACTAGTCGAGACTCTGCGGATCATCCCGAGATACGTTGTATCACTGCTTATGCTCAATGATATCTAAAAAATCTTAAGATCCTAACGTATTTTATCTTGGGAGGATTGCGGCTAATTAACACCCTTGCTGGACAATCTCTACTTTCCTTAACGTCAGCGAAAGCTTTATCATACTATAATAGCTAATACAGTAAAATCCAGATTTATCGCGCCCCGATTTACTGCGGCCATTTCCTTACCCCAAATAGGACTTACCAATAACATACATAACGTACACAAATAAAACCCCGATTTCCCGCGGCTGTTTCCTTCCCAAAACTCCGGTAGATTGTGGTGTTTTACTGTACATTTTATTACCAGTATATTTGAGAAACTTCCTGGTCGTTTACTGATTTAGATTTTATTGATCGTCGGTGGATCGAATATAATGAACTTATTTTAACTACATTTTTAATTTTGACCCTTCTGGCTGGTTGCGATTAATAACTGCTCTAGCATCTAGGATGGATGTCGCGTGAAATCCAACTCCAAATTTGCTCAAGCTCGAGTTTTAGTTACATGTAATGACATAAATAAAATTCCCGTGTCAAACCTTGGATATTATTTAAAGCTACGAAATCTGTGCAGAATGACCATATTTTTATCCCACCAACTTTTCATTACTATTAGTACGGCTACTCAGAGTTTGTTTTCCATTGTATTTGTATAATCATATGCAGATTCATCTGTTATTAATGCCTCTGGGTTTTCTGCCGAAGTTTATCGTTATTAAAGTATATAAATTCAGTGCTACTGGTACATAATTGTGACAGCTGTGTTTTAACTAATTGTATATGAGATACAGGAAATTTTCTCTTTGACCCTTAAATTAAACTCCATGCGTGTTGCAGGAAATCGTTTTTTAGTGACGATCACGTTAAATTATTTTCTATAATGTACTACTAGTACTCTACTTCAGATTGTTATAAAAAACGAAGCGCTATTTCTCACGTTTCCAATTATTGCAGATTAATGATTCTCCTTCGAATTATTGAAATTTTCGATTCTCTTGTTCTTGATCTAAAATGTGGATTTTTGCTGCTTTCATTATAAGTATAATGATGTATTTTATAAACGATAACTAAGAGGTAGACCTATAACTTATTTATATTTGAATTCAGTGTATTAAACGTTTTAATGATGGTTCAAATTTAACATAACTTATTCTTCATATTTTAATGTTCAACTTCATTTGAAAGTTTCCCTCAAGACATATAAGCATTTTTATTTGTTGGTCGTAAATTTATCATTTATTTCGACCTTGGTCAAGGTACGTACATGTAGCTCCACGTAATACAAATCACTATACATTCCCGATACATGATACAAGCCATGTCAATTGTGAAATCGTATTTATTTTTGCAGTGATCTACCAATGTAGGTTCATTTATCTCGGCTTTCTGATATGATTTTTGATCTTACGACAGTAAAATCCTGATTTCTCGTACATATCAGTTTGAGGAAAGAAAATATAATATCCATTTAATTTTATAACGGTATTTCGGGGTGTTATGTGCTAAATACTATATACAAAGTGGGCCAAAAGTCAGTGTGCAAACGTTCGGTCTTATAGTTATACCTCCGCCGTGTTTTATATTTGAGAGCTGTTGCCTAATTGCAAATGGCATACTAGTATACTGTACCTTCTTGTTTGAGGATTCTGTCGCCAAAATTTGAAAATTCGAATATTTCAGACCACGCCCATTCAATATTATGTATTAAAACACCTATATTGTTCTCTCTGAACATGCTGGACGCCTAATAGTAATTGTTTCAGAGACGGTAGATTATGAAATTTTGCATCTGATCTGGAAAAAAATTAGGCAAAACGGATTAGAACCTACTATGACGCGCGCCGAGTTGGACTCGTCGACGGAACAAATATTTTACGAGTATCACCCGTTAAATCAAGCATTTTGTGTATCTCGTTAACAAAATTTACTGGGTGATTATGTGACACTGTGACACGACACCTTAGGCTTAATTGGACAGCCTTAATACGATGATTCTCATAGTGTTTAATGGGGTGGTTAACGGGGTCATCTAAGGCTAATTTACTGGGCCGCGCTCAGCCTAGCCTGTCATTCCGCCTAATCTCTATTTGTTTATGAACACGATAGCCTGTGGTCCCCAGGTAAAGGCTAATCAGATCACGTGATTAGGTTAACCAATCACCTGATCAGACGTAATGAATAAATTTTTAATGCTTCGTCATTCGTATTTCTACTTGGTCCGGTCATCTTTGACGGATTGTTACTCGTCTAAATTTCTTCGAAGTAGCGCGCGCCGCTTTCTTCCCGAAATGTTATTCTTCTCGAAATGGCCTGATGACAAGTGCTGCATAATAATAATACGGCAAGTAGCGTGCACCGGGCCAAAACATTAACAAAACAATGGTTTGTAGCGCGATGCACTACTAGGTCGCGCGCGCATCAAATAATGCTTCTCGCAACCACAGATCGGCGAGATGCAGATAGGCGAGATGCGAAGGATTGACATCGTGAATCAAAACAATGGTCAAAGAAGCTATAATTATAATTGACCATTGTTAATGATCTGGCCCGGCGCACGCTACTTCCAACTTTGTAGCACTTGCCATCGGGCTAACATTTCGAAAAGAAAGCGGCGCGCGTTACTTCGAAGAAATTTAGACGAGTAACATCCGTCAATAATTATAACGACTAAATTTTTTTCATGTTACAGGACAAACGTAATTCGGCCAAACAGTACAATTAAATAAAATTAAGCCCGATCACCGATCCGACTGAACTTTTGCATTTGGAAAAAATAAACACAAATTTGTTGTAGGTTTACAATCTACCAAAACGTTGTCATAGTACGTTGTAATGTTGTATGACCCGCCGTGCACTCGTGCGCGGCTCCCCCTGTATCGTCGAAACTCTATAGTGAAGCGACAGTGGGGGTCACCACGTGATACAACCAGGACGCGCGCCTTACCTGGTGACCTCAGACTATTATGTTCATAAACGCCGAATAGAGATTCGGCGGAATGACAGGGTGAGCGCGGCCCAGTAACGCGCGCCGAGTTGCAGGACTCATCGACGGTCCTGATATATATGGAACAAATATTTTACGAATATCACCCTTTAACGAATTTGGAAAAAATGAACACGAATTTGAAGGACTTTGTTGACCATTGTTGATGGTTTGGCCCGGCGCGACCTTGTATCACGTTGCGACCCCCATGGTCGTTTTACTATGTTACTCGTCTAAATTTCTTCGAAGTAGCGCGCGCTGCTTTCTTCTCGATGGCAAATGCTACGAAGTAGCGCGCGCCGGGCCAAACCATTAACAATGGTCAAAAACGCGGTTCAAATTCGTCAGGCTATGTTTATGAACATGATAGCCTGAGGTCCCTAGGTAAATTACTTCGCCGCTTCGACGCGCCGCGCAGACTCAAGACTATCATTCTTATGTCTTAGTCCGCATCGACACTCGACAAATCATTGCTTTGTTAATTTGCACAGCAACGATCTGGAAGGGTTGACATTTAATTGACGATGTCAATTCATTGCACAGTATTAACGGGTGATACTCATAAAATATCTGTTCCATATATTGGACCGTCGACGAGTCCAACTCGGCGGGTAGACGTTAAAAACTAGTGGAGCCGCGGCAAAGTAGCAAAATGCGCGGGCAGTTCTAAAATTTATAATGTCGCCGCGCCTCACGTCTTGTATCTTTGTATTATTAGACAACAACATCAAATTCACTGTCCATATTTTGTAACAAAATCTAAAATTTCATAATACATGGTGTTGTATATGTTTTAATATCACTATAACTAAAGCGGACAAGCTTTTTATTTTACAACAATATCATTCGGTCTCCTTGTCACTGTAACACTTTGAAAGAAACACGAAGATTGAACAGCGAGACAGAGAATGGACAGTGAGACAGAAATTGAACAGTCAGACAGAGAATGAACACCAGGGAGAGAATGAACACCAGGGAATTAACTCTAAAATAGAGAATGAACACTGATGCAGAGATTGAATAATGAGACGGAGAATTAACGTCGAGACAGGAATGAACAGTGATTTAATAGTTAAACAGAGAATGATCACCGAGAAAGAGATTGAATAGTTAAACACATAATGAACGTTGAGACAGATTGAATATTGAGACGGAGAATGAACGTCGAGACAGAGAATGAACATTGAGACAGATTGAATAGTGAGACGCAGAATGAACGTCGAGACAGAGAATGAACATTGAGACAGATTGAATAGTCAGACGGAAAATGAATGTCGAGACAGAGAATGAACGCTGAGACAAAGATTGAATAGTTAAACAAGAAAATGAACACTGAGACAGAGATTGAATAGTTAAACAGAGAATGAACGTTGAGACAGATTGAATAGTGAGATGGTGACAGATCGAATAGTTAGACGGAGAATATCATAGTATGGTTAGTTAAATATCTAATATCTAAAATGATTGCACGGCTTTTAAAGTAATATATTATCAAACATAATCTTATCTATGTTATCTATATTAGTTTCTTTTGTAAATATAGGATGCCACATCATTGGCGGTATCTGACAGTTTCTTATATAATAATGCACGGACATCATCGTCCATCACGTCAAACTCGGGATCATTAACGAAGGAAGTTATTCTGTTTGAAAGCTCCCGCCAATCTCCTTTATATAGTCTATGTCCCGTTTCTTCTTTCTTTTATCCCCATTTCCTCCAACCTCATCATCTTCTACTTCTTCATCCTCGTCTTCTGATGCTGGATAATCGCAGCATTTGTTTACATCTGCATCAGCTGGCCATATCCCAATATCACTTCCTGCAAAAATAATATCGGATTTTATATTTTGACTATTATAAGAATTGGAAGCAAAGCAATAGGGAAAACCTTGCAAACCCTGCGGAGATGTGATTTATGACTCTGATGGCAGAGAGTGATAACCCACTTTAACAGACAAAATTATCTTTGTCTTTCCAACCCTGATAACAACCAGAGTCCACACGGATACCTCGCCTCGGAGGTCGAAGTAATGCCCTGCCTTTGATATTGATAATAATATTTACTGTAGGAAACTTCATATTTTCTCTACAAGCAGGCCCCACACCTCCTACATCGACGCGGACGCACGGCCATAGCACATGAACGAGTTATGAACCTCAATTTTGTCTTGTCTATTCAAATTGGAATGTAAACATGCATACAGATCAATTTAACAGACCTTTATCTTTTACGAAGAACGGTATGTTTCTGTAATCTTCAGGTAGGTCCTCCCATTTCATTAAACCATCATCGATAGCTTGAAAAATATGTCTGCAGGGGATGTGAGTCCTGCTGAAGTTTCTGCAGGTGCAAGTTGGTCCTCTGATGTTCAGTTGGTGGGGCTCAGACTGGTGAGAGGATTTCACATGGAATACTCCATCAACGACCTTGCACACTTTGCTTGACCGTTTACCTTCTAAAATTACTGGCTGTTATTCAAAAAATCAAACCAAGAGAGAACACATAATATTTTGTCGCTTTATAATTCAAATTATTACTACAAAAAAATACTCGATTCTCCAGAAATTTGCCTTGCACATATAATGTAGTAAGGAAAATAACTACTGAGCTAAATATAGAGTAACACTGACGAAGACAGAGAGTACTTACTGTTCTCAGGAGAAGGAAACCCTTGGTCTACTGTTTTGAAGAGAACTAGAGCGTTACTACTTGTCACTTGTCAGAGAGTTAATACTGAGTGGGAGAATAACTACTGAGAGAAATGTAGAGTTACACTGATGAAGACAGAGAGTTAATACTGAGTGGGAGAATAACTACTGAGAGAAATGTAGAGTTACACTGATGAAGACAGAGAGTTAATACTGAGTGGGAGAATAACTACTGAGAGAAATGTAGAGTTACACTGATGAAGACAGAGAGTTAATACTGAGTGGGAGAATAACTACTGAGAGAAATGTAGAGTTACACTGATGAAGACAGAGAGTTAATACTGAGTGGGAGAATAACTACTGAGAGAAATGTAGAGTTACACTGATGAAGACAGAGAGTTAATACTGAGTGGGAGAATAACTACTGAGAGAAATGTAGAGTTACACTGATGAAGACAGAGAGTTAATACTGAGTGGGAGAATAACTACTGAGAGAAATGTAGAGTTACACTGATGAAGACAGAGAGTTAATACTGAGTGGGAGAATAACTACTGAGAGAAATGTAGAGTTACACTGATGAAGACAGAGAGTTGATACTGAGTCGGAGAATAATTACTGAGGGAAATGTCTAGAGTAACACTGATGAAGACAGAGAGTTACCACTAAATGAGAGAGTAACTACTGAGGGAAATGTAGATTAACACTGATGAAGGCAGAGAGTTAATACTGAGTGGGAGAATAACTACTGAAGGAATGTCTAGAGTAACACTGATGAAGATATAGAGTTAACACTGAGTGGAAAAGTAACTACTGAGGGAAATATAGAGTAACACTGACGAAGACAGAGAGTTAATACTTTAATACTGTGTGGGAGAATAACTTCTGAATGAAATGTCTAGAGTAATACTGATGAAGATAGAGAGTTAACACTGATTGGGAGAATAACTACTGAGAGAAATGTAGAGTTACACTGATGAAGACAGAGAGTTAATACTGAGTGGGAGAATAACTACTGAGAGAAATGTAGAGTTACACTGATGAAGACAGAGAGTTAATACTGAGTGGGAGAATAACTACTGAGAGAAATGTAGAGTTACACTGATGAAGACAGAGAGTTGATACTGAGTGGGAGAATAACTACTGAGGGAAATGTAGAGTAATACTGACGAAGACAGAGAGTTAATACTGAGTGGGAGAATAACTACTGAGCAAAATATAGAGTAACACTGACGAAGACAGAGAGTTAACTCTCAGTGTGAGAGTAACTACTGAGGTAAATATAGAGTAACACTGACAAAGACAGAGAGTTAATACTGAGTGGGAGAATAACTACTGAGCTAAATATAGAGTAACACTGATGAAGACAGAGATTTAACACTGAGTGGGAGAATAACTACTGAGCGAAATGTAGAGTAACACTGACGAAGACAGAGAGTTAATACTGAGTGGGAGAATAACTACTGGGCAATTCCACGGTAAGGTTCCACTTGGTGAAAATGAAAAATGTTAAGATAGGCACCTAATTTTGGTTAAAATATGTTCATTAGACTCTTAACCTTACAGGTTAACAAAAGTTTTTTGTTTCACATTGCGTTAACTTTTGATTTTTCTCATTCAAAGGAACACTACTCGGAAATTTAAAAAATCATTCAAATTTTCAAAGGGCCATAGTTTGGGTATGCAGCAATATTTCTCTATGAAATTCCACACACTTGGGCATAGGCATAAGAATGAGAGCTATGCAAAGTTTCAAAACCGTTACTAAAATACTTTTTCTAAAAAATTTCCACAAAGATGGTGTCGCGTCCGTCACAAAATTAAGCAAAAAAGTTTTTTCAGAGCCACATAGTGCTATTTATATTCAAAAAACCACTGTAACCTATCTCTTCTGAAGGTAAGGGAGTACTGTAGAAATTATCAGGCTTGTATCTTTTAAGAAAAAAATTTTGGAAGGGGGGTCCCAACTTGTCGCGTCCGTCACATTTTTTTGAAAATGCTCCAAAAAATCTTTAAACAGACTTTAAATGCATTTTTCTTAAAGCTGAGGCCGTCCTCAACAAAACTATGTCGTCAAATCGAAAATTGGACAAAAAATGACCGAGTTATGTTTAATTTTGTATATGCCCATATATGGGCGTACGAGTCACTTTTAGCTATTTTTATCCCTATTTCCATTATTTTGACTAAAACCAAGACAAATAGAAGTCAAATAAAGTTGGATTGTGTTGACTATGTTGACTAGACTATCAAATAACATCATATCATATGCAATTCAATAATTAAATTTACTGAGTTTTTGCCATTTTATTTGCTTACAACTTTTCCAGAGGTAAAAGGCACAAAAAATGGACTTAACCCTATTTTCGCATAATTTTGAAGTAAAAATTCAATATCTTCCACATTTTAAACACTAAAGTAATGAAACTTTTGGGAGATGGTCTCAACAGTATGATGCGTTGAACAGTGATGAATGTTTTACCAGAGTTATAAATTTGTTCAAGTAGAGAAATAATTGATGCCCCTAGACTGATACCCTAGCGTATGTCCAAAATGGACGATTTTGGCTATTGCAGACCTATTTGGGGTATTTGAGGCCTAAAAATTGGCATGAATACAGATTAGATGTCACTGAACAAGATAAAAGTGTCAAGTGGAAGATTTGGAAAATTTGAAAAAAAACGTGTGTCCGTCACAGTCGCGTCTGTCACAATTTGAAAATGGCGCCACGCAAACAGGAATTGAGCAATCTCCAAGAAAATGGCATCTCAGAAATCCCTAAACCTTCTTCTATCATTGTAATTCCAAATTAGAGACAATAGATAACTTTTTGAGATAAATTTGGGTACCATCTGAGTAGACACCCAAAAAAAGTGTCATATTTAAGTCGCGTCCGTCACAGGGGTGCTATCTCAGAAAGTAATAATGGTAGGGGTCTGAAATTTTCACACAACCTGTAGAAAGGTTAAATGTGGACTAATAAACAGTTGGAGCTGATAAATAAACAACATCTCGAGTACAACATTCGTTTGAACTTTTAAAAACAGCAAAATCGTGGTGTCCGTCACGGTGGAATTGCCCTACTGAGGGAAATGTAGAGTAATACTGACGAAGACAGAGAGTTAATACTGAGTGGGAGAATAACTACTGAGCAAAATATAGAGTAACACTGACGAAGACAGAGAGTTAACTCTCAGTGTGAGAGTAACTACTGAGGTAAATATAGAGTAACACTGACAAAGACAGAGAGTTAATACTGAGTGGGAGAATAACTAAGTTGAGAGAAATGTAGAGTAACACTGACGAAGACAGAGAGTTAATACTGAGTGGAAGAATAACTGCTGAGAGAAATGTAGAGAAACACTGATGAAGACAGAGAGTTAATACTGAGTGGGAGAATAACTACTGAGAGAAATGTAGAATAACACTGATGAAGACAGAGAGTTGATACTGAGTGGGAGAATAACTACTGAGAGAAATGTAGAGTTACACTGATGAAGACAGAGAGTTAATACTGAGTGGGAGAGTAATTACTGAGAGAAATGTAGAGTAACACTGATGAAGACAGAGAGTGAACAATGAGTAGGGGGACATAAAATATGAAGTGCATGATTGTTGAATTACTCACACTGTAAGTTTGATGTTATTCGATGAACCAACAAATCTCACATAGGCACAGAATTCAGTGATCGTTTCATCGTTTGCAACACCAATAAAAACCTGAAAAATGGAAGTAATGATGTATTATATAATTATGTAGGGGACAAGGTTACAACGAAACAGAACATGTTACAATCATCAAAAAGCGAGGATTTTATATCAAGATTAATATACAATGTAATATATTATATTTTATGTAATATATTAATATTATTATATAAAGGATCATAGCAAGTATGTTGAACCTGATCATAACAATTTGAGGTTTCAATACTTACGTCTTACATACCTAAAGCCAGTCAATATCTGTTTCAATGTTTCTATCATGGCAGTCCAGAGTAACTATAGCTGTATTCTCTTGCATGTTTATTATCAGTTTCGCATCAATGAGGCAGAAGGAAGTCACTGACGAAACGTATGCATTCAGCATTGCACAACTTGCAATGCACCTATTATGTTGGTAACCGTTGATGCTGTCTGTCACAGCAGATGAAAAAGCACTCGAAACAACGACCATGTAGCTCTTTCAAATTCAAGCTGTATAACTATAGTCTATAATGCATATATTATAATATGATCTAATGATGCAGGCGAAGCTAGGTCAGGAACGCAGCAATGTGAAGTGTGAACCGACGAAACCGGAAACAGGTAACCAAAGATCTCTGAATTCTCTGGTCCATTATTCAGTTCTGATGTTTCACACACATACCTAAAATGAAGTAAATGTTATGAACAGTTATTTTTAAAAGAATACTAACTTGTATTATTTTTCTTCCCAATATAATGATATACCAGTAGTTTGGCAGTCCTTGATATATTTTCTTATATAAGATAACTGTATCGAGTGTACTTCTATATTATATAACAAGAATCAGCTCTACAAAAGAGAATTGGAGTTGCTAAAAATAGCAAAAAAAACAAATACATCTAAGTTGAGGTCAAACACAATGAAAAGTTTTCCAATGCGAAATTAATAGAAACATTTCCAATGGGAGTTTTTTAGAGGGTGAGACCTTTTTTAAATAAATTCAATGTCTAAAACAGAATTGCATATACTGCATAGGCTCAATAAAATGTGACCTCCAGATCAGTAAAATTAGGGGCGCTGGGAGACCTGCATAGAGTCCACTAGTATTTAATGTTAGCCTGTACTGGCTCAATAAAATGTGACCTCCAGATCAGTAAAATTAGGGGCGCTGGGAGACCTGCATAGAGTCCACTAGTATTTAATATTAGCCTGTACTGGCTCAATAAAATGTGACCTCCAGATCAGTAAAATTAGGGGCGCTGGGAGACCTGCATAGAGTCCACTAGTATTTAATATTAGCCTGTACTGGCTCAATAAAATGTGACCTCCAGATCAGTAAAATTAGGGGCGCTGGGAGACCTGCATAGAGTCCACTAGTATTTAATATTAGCCTGTACTGGCTCAATAAAATGTGACCTCCAGATCAGTAAAATTAGGGGCGCTGGGAGACCTGCATAGAGTCCACTAGTATTTAATATTAGCTTGTACTGGCTCAATAAAATGTGACCTCCAGATCAGTAAAATTAGGGGCGCTGGGAGACCTGCATAGAGTCCACTAGTATTTAATATTAGCCTGTACTGGCTCAATAAAATGTGACCTCCAGATCAGTAAAATTAGGGGCGCTGGGAGACCTGCATAGAGTCCACTAGTATTTAATGTTAGCCTGTACTGGCTCAATAAAATGTGACCTCCAGATCAGTAAAATTAGGGGCGCTGGGAGACCTGCATAGAGTCCACTAGTATTTAATGTTAGCCTGTACTGGCTCAATAAAATGTGACCTCCAGATCAGTAAAATTAGGGGCGCTGGGAGACCTGCATAGAGTCCACTAGTATTTAATATTAGCCTGTACTGGCTCAATAAAATGTGACCTCCAGATCAGTAAAATTAGGGGCGCTGGGAGACCTGCATAGAGTCCACTAGTATTTAATATTAGCCTGTACTGGCTCAATAAAATGTGACCTCCAGATCAGTAAAATTAGGGGCGCTGGGAGACCTGCATAGAGTCCACTAGTATTTAATATTAGCCTGTACTGGCTCAATAAAATGTGACCTCCAGATCAGTAAAATTAGGGGCGCTGGGAGACCTGCATAGAGTCCACTAGTATTTAATATTAGCTTGTACTGGCTCAATAAAATGTGACCTCCAGATCAGTAAAATTAGGGGCGCTGGGAGACCTGCATAGAGTCCACTAGTATTTAATATTAGCCTGTACTGGCTCAATAAAATGTGACCTCCAGATCAGTAAAATTAGGGGCGCTGGGAGACCTGTATAGAGTCCACTAGTATTTAATATTAGCCTGTACTGGCTCGATAAAATGTGACCTCCAGATCAGTAAAATTAGGGGCGGTGGGAGACCTGCATAGAGTCCACTAGTATTTAATGTTAGCCTGTACTGGCTCGATAAAATGTGACCTCCAGATCAGTAAAATTAGGGGCGCTGGGAGACCTGCATAGAGTCCACTAGTATTTAATATTAGCCTGTACTGGCTCAATAAAATGTGACCTCCAGATCAGTAAAATTAGGGGCGCTGGGAGACCTGCATAGAGTCCAAGTAGTATTTAATATTAGCCTGTACTGGCTCGATAAAATGTGACCTCCAGATCAGTAAAATTAGGGGCGCTGGGAGACCTGCATAGAGTCCACTAGTATTTAATATTAGCCTGTACTGGCTCAATAAAATGTGACCTCCAGATCAGTAAAATTAGGGGCGCTGGGAGACCTGCATAGAGTCCACTAGTATTTAATATTAGCTTGTACTGGCTCAATAAAATGTGACCTCCAGATCAGTAAAATTAGGGGCGCTGGGAGACCTGCATAGAGTCCACTAGTATTTAATATTAGCCTGTACTGGCTCAATAAAATGTGACCTCCAGATCAGTAAAATTAGGGGCGCTGGGAGACCTGCATAGAGTCCACTAGTATTTAATATTAGCCTGTACTGGCTCAATAAAATGTGACCTCCAGATCAGTAAAATTAGGGGCGCTGGGAGACCTGCATAGAGTCCACTAGTATTTAATATTAGCCTGTACTGGCTCGATAAAATGTGACCTCCAGATCAGTAAAATTAGGGGCGCTGGGAGACCTGCATAGAGTCCACTAGTATTTAATATTAGCTTGTACTGGCTCAATAAAATGTGACCTCCAGATCAGTAAAATTAGGGGCGCTGGGAGACCTGCATAGAGTCCACTAGTATTTAATATTAGCCTGTACTGGCTCAATAAAATGTGACCTCCAGATCAGTAAAATTAGGGGCGCTGGGAGACCTGCATAGAGTCCACTAGTATTTAATATTAGCCTGTACTGGCTCGATAAAATGTGACCTCCAGATCAGTAAAATTAGGGGCGGTGGGAGACCTGCATAGAGTCCACTAGTATTTAATGTTAGCCTGTACTGGCTCGATAAAATGTGACCTCCAGATCAGTAAAATTAGGGGCGCTGGGAGACCTGCATAGAGTCCACTAGTATTTAATATTAGCCTGTACTGGCTCAATAAAATGTGACCTCCAGATCAGTAAAATTAGGGGCGCTGGGAGACCTGCATAGAGTCCACTAGTATTTAATATTAGCCTGTACTGGCTCGATAAAATGTGACCTCCAGATCAGTAAAATTAGGGGCGCTGGGAGACCTGCATAGAGTCCACTAGTATTTAATATTAGCCTGTACTGGCTCAATAAAATGTGACCTCCAGATCAGTAAAATTAGGGGCGCTGGGAGACCTGCATAGAGTCCACTAGTATTTAATATTAGCCTGTACTGGCTCAATAAAATGTGACCTCCAGATCAGTAAAATTAGGGGCGCTGGGAGACCTGCATAGAGTCCACTAGTATTTAATATTAGCCTGTACTGGCTCAATAAAATGTGACCTCCAGATCAGTAAAATTAGGGGCGCTGGGAGACCTGCATAGAGTCCACTAGTATTTAATATTAGCCTGTACTGGCTCAATAAAATGTGACCTCCAGATCAGTAAAATTAGGGGCGCTGGGAGACCTGCATAGAGTCCACTAGTATTTAATGTTAGCCTGTACTGGCTCAATAAAATGTGACCTCCAGATCAGTAAAATTAGGGGCGCTGGGAGACCTGCATAGAGTCCACTAGTATTTAATGTTAGCCTGTACTGGCTCAATAAAATGTGACCTCCAGATCAGTAAAATTAGGGGCGCTGGGAGACCTGCATAGAGTCCACTAGTATTTAATATTAGCCTGTACTGGCTCAATAAAATGTGACCTCCAGATCAGTAAAATTAGGGGCGCTGGGAGACCTGCATAGAGTCCACTAGTATTTAATATTAGCCTGTACTGGCTCAATAAAATGTGACCTCCAGATCAGTAAAATTAGGGGCGCTGGGAGACCTGCATAGAGTCCACTAGTATTTAATATTAGCCTGTACTGGCTCAATAAAATGTGACCTCCAGATCAGTAAAATTAGGGGCGCTGGGAGACCTGCATAGAGTCCACTAGTATTTAATATTAGCTTGTACTGGCTCAATAAAATGTGACCTCCAGATCAGTAAAATTAGGGGCGCTGGGAGACCTGCATAGAGTCCACTAGTATTTAATATTAGCCTGTACTGGCTCAATAAAATGTGACCTCCAGATCAGTAAAATTAGGGGCGCTGGGAGACCTGTATAGAGTCCACTAGTATTTAATATTAGCCTGTACTGGCTCGATAAAATGTGACCTCCAGATCAGTAAAATTAGGGGCGGTGGGAGACCTGCATAGAGTCCACTAGTATTTAATGTTAGCCTGTACTGGCTCGATAAAATGTGACCTCCAGATCAGTAAAATTAGGGGCGCTGGGAGACCTGCATAGAGTCCACTAGTATTTAATATTAGCCTGTACTGGCTCAATAAAATGTGACCTCCAGATCAGTAAAATTAGGGGCGCTGGGAGACCTGCATAGAGTCCAAGTTAGTATTTAATATTAGCCTGTACTGGCTCGATAAAATGTGACCTCCAGATCAGTAAAATTAGGGGCGCTGGGAGACCTGCATAGAGTCCACTAGTATTTAATATTAGCCTGTACTGGCTCAATAAAATGTGACCTCCAGATCAGTAAAATTAGGGGCGCTGGGAGACCTGCATAGAGTCCACTAGTATTTAATATTAGCTTGTACTGGCTCAATAAAATGTGACCTCCAGATCAGTAAAATTAGGGGCGCTGGGAGACCTGCATAGAGTCCACTAGTATTTAATATTAGCCTGTACTGGCTCAATAAAATGTGACCTCCAGATCAGTAAAATTAGGGGCGCTGGGAGACCTGCATAGAGTCCACTAGTATTTAATATTAGCCTGTACTGGCTCAATAAAATGTGACCTCCAGATCAGTAAAATTAGGGGCGCTGGGAGACCTGCATAGAGTCCACTAGTATTTAATATTAGCCAACTCGGCGCGCGTCCTGGTAAACCTACAACGCACAGTAGCACATTTCACCGATCTAGCGAGAAGCCTTTTTAAGTGCGCGGCGCGGCA